AAGGCTGGAGTGGCAGCACGAAGCTCTGGAAAGCTGTCCTCAGCCCTGTCTGGCTGCTCCTGGCAGGGATGCTCAGCTCCCGCTGCCCTTCTCCTGAGCTTTGCTCCAGGCTTATCCCACAGCCCACTGCTGCCTTCACCATGCACCCTGCAAGCAATCCCTTCTTTTATCCCCCGACCCAGCACACCTGCCTGTCTTAAAGGGGTGGTTAAGCGTCTTCAATTCGGAAAGGGGAAACTGAGGCACGGGAGAACAGTCCCAAAGCAAAGTAGCTGCAGAGAAGCCCACTGTCCCCACGCAATGACCAGACCTCCCCATCCCTTTCCCCACCACCTGCCCCTGCAACGGCACCCGAAAAGGTGGCCCGGCTGGGATGGGAAGCCCCTCGTCCAGCCTGGATCTGGCCCCTCGCTTATCCCTGGCGTGGATGCAGCTCCCCGTGTGCTGTTGTCCTCCCAGCAGCTACTTTCCTAGATTAAAAATCATGCTCTCATCATCTTGGCCTGGCGCCATGAAGCCTCTTGCTTGTTTTTATTGACAGCACCGTCTTTTGCTGATTAAAATTCCTTTAAGTGCACCTGATGGCTAATCCCAGCCCTGAGGCCAGGGGTGCTGTCACTGTCCCCCCCTCCCATATCGGCTCTTTCTGCCCATGTTCCTTCTCCGCTGTGTGTCCCCAGGTGCCACATGTGCCTCCCTCCCTGCTTGGTCTTTCCTTGGCTTCAAAAATAAAGGAAAAGTATGCAAAAAAATGCTCCTGGAGATGGGGGAAATGGTGATTTTTATTTGCAGAAAGCAATTGGGGGGTGTAAGGGTGTGCCAGGCTCCATCCCTGTCCCTTGTCCCCCTCCTCCCCCTTGGCTGGTGCTGGATTTATCCCCAGAGGGATGGTGAGCCAAGAACCGCGGGCCAGGAGGGGAATCGTGCCAAAAGCGCCCGAATCCAAGCCTCGCGGTTCCAAATGAGCAGCGGCGCTAACGAAATCCCCGCCGGCCCTGGGCTGGGGCTGCCGGAGCTGGGCTCGGCTGGGATCGCTCGCCAGCAGGGCTGGGCTGCTCCGTGGGGATGTGGGGAACACTGGGAGGATCCCACTGCCCGCTGGGGAGCTGGATGCCTGGGTCTGAAAATGGTTTGAATTCCTTGTGGGATGGCCGAAGCATCAATAAACTGAGCTTTCTGCTCCTCTTTGGGCTTTCTGCTCCCTTTGGGAAGTTTTGCTCCTTCATGCCTGGTCCTGGTGCTCCCCTAGGAGTGTTTTAGCCCCCTCCCAGGGTCTGGCCTATCCCATCTCCATCCCCCCACCCACCACCACCCTCCTGTGTCTCCATGGTCTGTTGGGAAGTTGGGGTGGCTGTGGCCATGGCCAGCACCCCACTGCAAAGCCCCAGCCCGGCACGATGGACC